CCCCAAAACCCCAAAACCCCATAAGAATAAATCTTCAGGATAGGTAGTAACATTAATAAAATATTTAGGTAGCTGATAGTAGATTTTATCGAATCTTTTTTAATTGCTTTTATCAGAATAATATGCAGAAATAAGAGATGAATCCAAAATTCAATAATTTTACTGTTGAGGTAGTGTAGCTAGACTAGCACTCAGATAAAAAAGATGAGGAGTTTGAATTTAATATGGCAAACGATCTAGACGAAGATGAAGGGTTGAATGACACAAAAAGGATGCTCGTACAATTGAAGGACTAAAGACGGAATACTAATCGCAAATTTACACATGAAATTTAGGAAATAAGGAAAAGAGAGATCAGCAAAGGCATAAAAGAGCCAATGACCCCAAATGTAAATACAAGAAGGATAGATCAGCACAAAGAAGTTAGATTTAGCAACTTAGATAACAAAAAAGATGGTAGTGAACATAAAGCAAGACAATCTATAACATCCTAGTCTAAGAACATAAGTCCTAGTCCATTGATCCCAAGAAGAGCACCTCAGTCTAAATAGTCTTAATCCGTGGTTGAGGCGTACAAGGAGAAGTATAGAGAATATTCTTATAGAGGCAGTATAATTGCGACTAACTCTATTAGAAAGCCCAGTAAATTTATTATGAATTAGGAAACAAGGGCCATGGCGCAGAGAAGACAGGAATCTCAAAACTAAGAAGGATTTATAAATAAATTTAGAGAGCAGTTCAGACAGCAGTCCTTCATGTAGAATCATGAGGGAAATTTAGAGAAGGATTAAGAAGTAAGACTCTAATTCTAGGTAAGTAGAATTTCAAATGTATTTAAAGATCCTGTTCAATCTAGCCTCAATCTGACTTGATCAGTAATGATTGATCTAGAAAAATAAGCAATTCATTTAAAGATACAGATATTTACATTAAAAACTTTAGAGAACAATCCTTGGAGATTAGATGAAAAGTCAAAATCATTAAAGTAGCGATCACAAAGAAATTCATGTGGAAGACAGCTTTACTGAAGAAAGTAAACTGACTGAAGACCCTTCTGGAGAGGAATCGAAGACAGCTACTTAGTAATAGGATTATAACTAAGCAGAAGGTGAAGATATACCTCTTAGAAACAGAATTACTTTTAACCCTCCCTAAGTTGCTCCTCTAGATTCACAGAGATTTAAGAACTTAAAAGTTGAGACTGCTGTAAATAAGGTTACAAGGCAACCTTCTAAGTTAGGAATATCGTCCTTGAGGTATTAAACTTTGAAACCTAATATTTATATAGTCCAGGAATAAGAAAAAGAAATAGTAATATTGGATTGACTTCACCAATAAAGCTTGGCAAGTCTTTATACCACATTGAGGGCAAAAATGAAAACAAGTAGGAAGATGAGAGGAAGGTAACACTTAAGAACACTTCTATCATGATTGAAAAGTTCAAAATACAGAGAGATGAGTCAATCAAAAGGAAGAGGCAGAGGGTATCACATGAAAACAAGAAAACTTCGAATAATAAGGTAACTAATGATGAAAACCTTACCACTGCAAACGAAGAGGAAAAAATAGGAAGCCAAAGTAGATATGTGAAGAGTAAATTTTCTAAAAGGATAGAAGATCCTCAAACAAATTCTCTGTCAGTATCTAAGCAGACTCCCATTTTAATTTCTCATCATACTCCAAGCGCTCAATTTATGTTTACAACTAGAAAGACATTAAACCTGTACACTGAACATGGCAAAAAATCTTCAGGGTATACAGTTAATGGAGTGAAGCAATATGAGTCTAAATCGAACCCTAGTCTCATTTAGTTTGGACCTAATTCCTCTTCACACATGGTATCTTCATTAAATTAGCCAAACATAGAAAAACCCAAAGAAGAGCAGTTCAAGGGTGTCTTTACGATTGATAGAAAAAGACCCCCTAATGTAAGAATTTTCTCAAACAAAGTTGTCACTGATGAAACCCTCTGTGAGCTTCTGTTATATTTGGAGACAGAGAACGTTACTACTATATCTATGCCTAATTGCAAGCTATACGATGCAGGCCTTTCAATTCTATTTGAATTCTTACTTGCAATCAAAAATTTGTAGAGATTAAAGGTTTGCAACAACATCATGCAGCTCTTCCCAAAGGAAATGCCATTCCTTGAAAGTGCAACTTATATTATGGGCTTAGCCTTGAAGTAGCAGAAAAATTTGCAAGTGTTTGAGTTGCATGGATTCTTCTTCAAATAGGACGATTATGAGACACTATTTGAAGGTCTTAGTTCCTGCCATCAACTTAAGCAACTTACCTTTTCGAATAACGGGCTACAGGATTATGGAGTGGAGTACATATCATAACTCATTGAAGATCCTAGGATGAACATAAAGTAGATGACTCTAATGAACAACTAGTTAATGGATGAAGGAGCTGAATTTTTAGCAGATGCGATTCAGTCTGAGTACTGCAAACTGGAAAAATTAGACTTGAAGCTAAACTTTATTAAAGACAAAGGGGCAGCATTATTCGTGGATGGGTTTCTTGAGGAATCTGGGGGTTATCAAAAGCTTTAAAAGCTAATTTTAACAGAAAACTAAGTGACTGAGAGATTAAAACGGTTTGTTCATAAAAACTATCCGCAAATCATGGTGTAAATAACTTCTTAATTTAATTATTCAATCATTTAATTTCAAAAATATTCATCTTTTGGGGTTTTTGGGGTTTTGGGGTTTTGGGG